ATTTAAAAATCATATAAGACACAGGACATATTATATGATTATCAGACCCAAGTCATGGAGAACAACGTCGATGATTATTGTCTAAATTGGTTTTTTCTTACTATAGCAAAAAGATTCTAACCTCCTCTGAAGGATTGAGTTTTTTGAGGTTTTATTTTTCCATCTCTTATGCTGCTGCTTTCTTCTTTGCTTTCCTCTCTTGCACCAGAAAATTTCATTCTACAGAAGTGGTCAGCGGTGATCAGATATAAATATTATAGAAATTGAAAGTTTCTGAATAATAGCTAAAGCATTTATTCGATCCTGTGTTGAAATAAACACGTTTGTTCACTAATAACTTGTAGCTTCTCGACGAGGTGGTTCAAGAATGAACTACCTTGTTTGCTTAATCAAGCGCTCCATTTATGCCACCTGTTCGTAATTGAAGCCTATTTCAGAAGGTCTGTAAACAATATTTCTTGGAGGCAATTCAAATAGCAAGTAGAACAAGGAACAGTTTGTTTAAGTTGATGAATGGCTGTGAATGGGGTTTGGTATCAAGCAACCCGTATATACTTTACATGCAAGAAAAAACATACTTTTCTTCTTCTTAATGGTAACTTTTCAGTGAAGTTTTTTAGACCCTTTTTCACAAGTTATTCTCAGCTGGGCTTTCTCTTTAACATGGTGTTCTTGGCTCCAATACTCTTGATTATAACAGTAACAGAGAGTAAAATTAGCAGACAAAAAATTGATTAAAATATGATTCTTATATACAGTTCAAGAAACTTAAAAGCCTAAGAACTCATCCAAACTTTCATTATCAGATACACATGTACATTCTCGTGATGTCATGGTTGACAGATTTCTTTCTGCAATAAACAAATAAAATAAGTACTATTAAAAATCAAAACTAGAGTGGATTCTTTTACCTAGAATAAAAACTGAGTCAGAGAGTTCTAGGACTTGGTGGATGCCAATTTGGGTTCACACCTGGCCAGACTGAGTTTATAGTTCTAGAAATTACGACTTGCAAAGTATACGGTGGAGCCAAACTCACATTTCCTTTAAGAATAGGTGCTTGTAAAAGGCATATGTAATTCTATCTGAAAATTGATTGTGATCCAGATACCTGAAACATAGAAACAGTTTCGGAAACAGAAAAACTTCAACCTGTACATTTGAGCAAATTGTTAGCATCCCATAATACTGATTCTAGAGGACTAATGGCATTCCTTATCATGTTTAGTAAAGTTGACGAAATAGTGCTGTGCTGGGCAATATTACAAGAGAATAACAAATTCAAATTTTGTGCAGTGTAACAAACATGCTTTAGATTTAGCTGGTCAAGAAACTTACACAGTTACACCATAGCTCCTGGGCCTTTCCAGTTCTGTAAAAGACCTTAGAAAGAGCTAGCAAAGTTCAAAAACAAAGAACTGTGCTTCGGTCTAACACAATTGCTTTCTCGCCTCAATATTTACTGAAACTATTGGCACATAGTTTGGTCCTTAGCATCTTCAAGTACAAAAGATTAGCCACACTTAAAATTTCACGGGAGTTTCAACAATTGTATATATTGTCATAAATCACCATCCTGAAGCTAAAAATGATATCATACAACTACTAACATAAGAAATATACCGACAAAGCAAACTCACAGGTAATCTAGGAATATTCTAGGATAAATATCTGTGAGCAGAGGCAATTAAATTCATAAATTACAATATAAAATAGTATCAGATCAAGCAACAAAGTAACAACTCAAAATTCCCTTTCATAAAAATAAATAAACTTACAAGATCTCTAAGTTAATCAAATTTGCAAGCTGTGCTGGAATGCTGCCAGTAAAATAATTGTTATGAAATATCCTTCAATATGAATATACTCACAGATGAGTTATCTGCTTTAGTTCACCAATTTCAGGAGGAATGGCATCTCGCAGCTTGTTCCAC